GCTCCAACGCCCACCCTCTGTCCGCCAGAGGAGAAGCCGTTCCTCCTATTGTGGGAGAAATGAAATTGGGCCGCTGACCCTCCGCTTCGGGTGCTCGAGGCTCCTTCTTCCCGAACGCGGCACTCCCTCGGTTCTGTCCCCGGACCGGCACCCTGGGGAAAGGTGTCAGACCAGTGGAGGGCGTAGCATTTTTATGGAATTTTTTTCCGCCTTCCTCCTTGACCCGAACTGAAGTGCGGGCATAACAGGCGTTTGCTAGGAGTGTCAGGGTTAATGCTTGACTAATACAAGGTGTTATTCACACCCAGATTGTTAAATTACATAGCTCCAGCCAGGCCTGCTTCTCTTGCCTGTCGATATCCAGCAGGAAGCAGGAGGACCTGAGGAAACCCATCTCTTTTTCTTTCTTCGGAGGGAAAAAAGTTCAAGTGTTTGCTCTACTTTTTCCACCGTGGGAGATACAAATATGAGGCTGCGGCGACCTGGCTAGGGAAATACTGTATCCTAAACTTCAATTATTTGAGCTCATTTTTGCTGTTTCCATTTAATGATTCAGCATTTCTGCAGTAAACAGAAAAACTGTAGAGTAGGTTCATTGATTAAAAAGATATATATTAGGATAATAGTGCCCATTACTTTTTTATGGTCTCACAATGGGAAGAGAATGTGGATGCAGTAATGAAACTAGAAAGATGGAGAGCAGGGTGTGGATGGATCAGTTCTTAATCAGAGTTTGAAATAACATTATTTCAAGATATCATTTTAAGTGATGAATCTGTAGGGAAAGGTGCAGTTGTTGGAGAATGCAAAATGTTACAGGTAAGAGTTAGTTGGCAGGGACTTGAAATTTACTGTGGTTTGAAGCTCTTGAAGAATTAACCTCGTTTTAAGCAACATCATTGTTTGTTTAACACATCTGTAGAGATGATGACCCAGTATTATACCCAGTAGGGTAACAATTTCGGAAAGTGTGATTCATTTAGGAAGTTAGGTCACTCACTTTGTGAATCATTGATAGGGATCTTAAAATTTGAATAGAGGAAATCTAGAAGTTTGTTACTGCCTGTTTAATTAGATGCTTTCACTCATAGAAAGCATTAATACTTTCTTAGATTCATTGCTGGATATTTATTGTCACTAAGTATGATAAGGAAATAAAAAGTGAACTTTGGCAAAGTGGTTGGATTTGAGAGTTTGTTAGTTCCTAAGCGGGTTGTTGTGATTTTACCCATTTTTTGTCAGACATAGGAGGATAAATGAAAAAAGATAAATGTCTAGAAACAAACTAAGTGTCAGTGAAAAGGAGAGCTACCATCATTAAGGAAGGAAAAAAGTTCACTGAAAGAATCTGTGGTACATGAAGCAGTCTTTTGAGTGGAAGGCCTTACCCATTTTGCAAAATCTATCCTTAAAAATGTGGAATGAGACTACACTGAGTTCATATTTAAATTGTATTATAGAAGAAAGTGTGTATTGAAGTAGCGATTCATTACTGGAATGAATTCATTTAAAACTAGAAATAACTTTTCATTGCTGAAATGTAATTTGATCGTGTTGGGCTTTTCAAGTGTTGTTATGCAAAATGACTTTGAATCACAGAGTTCTTGATACTCTTAGCCTTGTTTTCTTCTTCTTTTTGGAATTGAGCTTATTTTTACCTTGATTTTGATTTATAAAGAACTTTAGTTATCAGTTGTCAGGTAATGGTGAGTTTATTCTGTTGGTCTTGCTTACTAAATTCCTTTATTCTTTGACTGAATTTTGGTGTCTTATTTCCGTGGATATCCATTCTTATATTCAGAGCGTTCCTAAATGTTGCTTTTGATTTTTGTCCAGCTAGTAGTGACTTAAGAGTTTCAGTTCCCAGTAAACAGAGATTCCCCTTTTGGAAAATCCCTTGTGGAAACCACCTGAACTGACAGTTTTGATGGCTGGATATGCAAGAGAATCCTTCTTAGATCAGGATTTACGCAACTTCATGATGAAGGAAAAAAGTGATATGGAGAATATATTTGGCAAAGTAGATTCCTTTTCTCTCAAAGTGAAAACAAAAACAGATCTTTACTAGAAATGAGAGGGAGGGAGGCATATCTTACAAAGCTCTTTGTGAATTGTTTACTCTGCTCCTAGTGTGAAAAGGAACGAAATTGATGATATATAGAAAAAAAAATTTCTCCCTGCAGCGTGCTGGGAATGTTGATGAGGATCATTTTAGAGGAAATAAAATCCTTCTGTCCTCATCATAGAAGCACTTTCCATTGCACCCACAAAGTGGAGGCTATTTCATAGTCTTTTCCTTTTAGATAGTTGCTTTTTCACTGGAGAATCTGAATGGAGAGATGGTCCTTTAAGTGGAAAAATGTACCACCTTATCCAGTTTGCAAATAAAGACTGTATGACCATCATTCAAAACTTAACTTTAAAAACTTCCAAAGGAAGGAATTGAGCAAAATTTACCCTGTGAGTAAAATAACTTTGCCTTTTTCTCCATTTTCCCCCATAAAACAATAGATGACACCATTAGAAATGATTTTTTTTTGTGTTGCACATTGTACTTTCGCTTTAAAAACTGTTTGGCCTGCAGTCAATTAAGCCAGACTTAAAAGGAATCAAACATAAGGCTGCAAACTGGTTTTGTTGTAGGTTAATACTTTTTCATTTGTTCCATTCTTTCTTTCTTTCTTTTGGTGGGCGGATGGAGAGAGAACTCTGTTTCTTGGCGAAGGTCTGAGATTTGCTCAATATGTAGGCTTTTGTTTTGGTCCAGCGGTAGGACGAGCAGTTGATCAGATACAAGTGGTGAAGAGGGAAGAAAAGGCACACACAGAAGAATGCTTACTTCATGACTTCAGTAGATGTTTGTGGGACTTTTCAAAATTGATAACACATTTAAAAAGAAGATGTAATATGGTGAAAAGGAAGTTTCCTTTCCACAATAAACTTCTAGCATTCCCCCACGCCCTCCATAAGCCAAGCAACCACTGTTAATGGTTTCCTGTGTATCCCTCTCCGGATTTTCTCTGACATATGTAATCCACATACGTACGTTAGGGAGAAACGTCCTGTACCTTTCATTCGTACCCTTAATATGCCTTAGAGATCATTCTATATTAGCACAAATGTCCATCCTGCCTGGTGTAACCATAACTTGTTCATTTTACATAATTTATTTTAAGATTCCCTATTAACAGATATTTAGGTCATTTTTAGCTTTCTACTAACACTGCCATAATGAACAACCCAATATATGTCTTTGCACTAGTGTGGAAATATGTATATGGAATATATTTCTGAAGTGTGATTGCAAATTAGAGGCTTTAATTGTGAAATTTAAAAAATGTATTTCAGTCCTATGTTGGGATTTATTTTATAGTAGAAGTTAATTTTTTTCTTAAACTTGTAGAAGGAGAAAAAAAGCATTTAGTTACTTTATAATCTTTATCCTACTTGCAATTAAAAATATGATACAAGTGTATTTTATAAGGTGATTTTAAACGTTTTTGAGTGACAGCTAGGTAATTTTATTTGTACTGGTAAGGGTAAAAATACTGTACCTTGAAGACTGCTATTATAGATGAACTACTTCATTTATATTTGATAATACTAGTTAAATGAGTGCATTTTGTAGTAGCTTGATTGTTTTAGGATTTTATGACCAATATCAATTAAACCATTGTATTGTATATAGTTTCACTTCTTGCCCTGCAGAAGTCTGCTGCTATATTATTAGTCACATGGGAAATAAATAGCTCATCTCTCTCTTCCTTTATCTTCCATATCCCGATTAATTCATTAAAATAAACCTCTGTGGAGTTGGAGATCCAAAAAATCCTTTTGCAAACCAGAGTGCTATTGATAGATTAATTTCTCAAAGCAGAAGGTAGGTGCAGATTCAGTCTTTATTCTGCAGAGTGTTTGTGAGCAGAATGAAGGAGGTTTAAATTTTTAATTTCAGTGTTATACTGACCAGGAGAAGGTTCAGGAATCTTTGCCCTTTTAAAATGAGAGAGACTAGAAGAAAAAAAAGTGCTTAGGGACTCATATATGAGGATGAAATTGGAACTTGTGAGTGGCAGTTTCCCTGGCCGGTGCCCAGGGTCTATTTTGAGGCCTTGTCAAAGCTCGCCTGACAGAACCTACCACATAACCATAATCTGTCTTGGCACCACTACAAGTCAGGAAAGCCTGCGGTTTAGGAAAGGTGGCAACCACGGAAGAGGGAGTTGATAAAGGACATTTACCTTCTGAAGATTAAGCCTAAGTATTGGGGTGAAATTGTGCTTCGCATGCATATCCTAGGATCCAGTTTTTTGTCTTCCTTTTTTTTTTTTTCTGTAAGGAGTGAGTGTGATTGAGGAAAACTAACAAGGAGAGTGTTTTAGAAAAATGTGCATGAGGAGGAGCACAGGATTGTACCAGTATTGATGTCATGTCTGGTTCTGAGAGTATTTGGCAAGAATCAGTCAAATGTTTTACAACAGGGAAAAAACATTGTTGTTACCCACATGGGGAGGCCGTGCCCCTAGTTGAAAATAGTCTAGTCCAGAGACCTTCACACTTGTCACTGGGATCAAAAGGACAGCAGGAATGATGGGCTGTTTTGCAGGATTATTCTGAGTTCATACTGAGAAATTAGCTTCTTCCCAGATCCTCATTCTCTTCTTCCTATTGAACTGTACAGTATCACGTGTAGTATCAGGAGGTTATCTCTTTAAACTCTTGGTTATTACCAGATACCATCTCCCAGCATAGCTGCCTTCCTGTACCATGTGCTTTCTCATGAAATCTTTGGTGTTTCCTATGAGTAGTGAATAAAGTGCTCGAGTTTAAAGTTCTTTAACTGACTCACTTCTTAGCTAGAAAGCTGTTAAAGAGCTTAGTACTTCATTCTTTTGACCAAGGTTCATGTCATCATATTTATCTGCAGCCTTGTATTAGAGTGGAGTATATAGAGTGGAGTTTGAAGAATTTGGTATACAGACTTAATTTATGGATGCAAAAGCTACAGATGGTTTCCTTTCTTTTGCTTTAGATTAGGTTGGCACTCCAGGAAATTTTATTTTTCCTTGCCCTTAGCATTTGATGATGATGATGTATTTAGTACTCAGTGTGAGGAGGAAAAATAACTGAGTATTTTTCTCTCTTTATTTCTAATATCTGTTTTATTTCTCTTATCTTACTATGTCCCTTCCCTGCCTTAACCTTCCCCTCCTCCAAAAACAGAATGAGATTAGAACAGAGCAGAGGAGCAAGAGCGGAAAAGAGGCTGGGAAAATCTTGGAGTGCAAGGGCTTGTCAGGTGTTTTTATTTTCTCATAAGTAGATTATTAAAACTCTTCTTAAAAAATCAGTTCATTTCCCCATTGTTTTCAATTTGAACCTTCTATATCTTAGTTTTCCTTCATTATGAAATACCAAAATTTTAACTGGTTTTGATGTAAAATATCTTCACCTGCTTTAGGAAATGAATTTAACTTTTAAGTTGCTTGTTCTGATCACTTTGTTATTCTTTCTACATCTCCCACTTTCCTCAGTAGAAACATTTTAACATCTAGAAGCAATCTTTTGACTCTGATTTCTCAATTAAATAGAGTAGGCTGTGGGCAGAAGATTAGGATGTTAAAATATTTCTCTGTTAAATGGTTTAGCCATTTACAACAACAATGTAATTATTGTATTTATTGTAACTTATTGTCTTGTTTATTGTATAATTATAGTATAATTAGTAAGCATACAGGTTGTTGCTATTTAAAAAAAAAAGTACTCCAGTTAAGTGGTCTAAGGATTATAGGACTAAAAATAGAAAAACAAAATTCTATTTTCGATTTTTTATTTTCAATTTTTTTTCCTCCTCCATGGATATCACTATGTCTAAATGAACAGTTAAGATCATGAGAGGGTCACTGTCCTCCTGTCTTATATACCATTTTCAATATTTTTAAGTGTACAACTTAGTGGCATTAACTACATTCACACTGTTGTGCCACCATCACCACCATCTACCTCCAGAACTTTTTCATCCTCTCAAATGGAAACTCTGTGCCTATTAAACAATAACTCCTCATTCCCCCCAGCCGTTGGTAACCACTATTCTGTCTTCTGTCCCTGTGAATTTGCCTACTCTAGGTACCTCGTAAGTGGAATCAGGTAGTATTTGTCTTTTAAAACTAGTTTATTTCCCTTAGCATAATGTCCTCAAAGTTCATCCATGTTGTAGCATGTATGAGAATTTCACTCCTTTCCAAGGTGGAATACTATTTCATTGTGTGTATGTGTATAAAACATTTTGTTTATCCATTCATCTAGTGATGGACATTTGGGTTGCTTCCATCTTTTGGCTATTGTTTTTTTTTAATATTTGATGTTACGTTTTATTAATATTTGAATATGCATTCAAATAAACACATACAGACTTGGGTCTATGGAAATGAAACTAAAACATTGTTCTAGTTTAAATCTAGTCTGCTCTTTTCACAGTTAGTAGCTAGGCATCTTTTTAAAAAATATAATATCTGTGTGTAGCAATCATGTGTATTCTCTTGTTTCTAGGACTTAACTACTTTACAAGTCCATATACGTAGTGAACTTCATTTATTTGCACAATCATTCATAGTGAATATTATTCATATAATATTGTTCAAAGGCATTCTTTGATATAATCTTGGTATAAATAAAGAAATAACAAGAAATAGAAATTATGGGTTTTACAGAGCTTATTTTCAGATGACATTAACATATGAAATAATTCATTAGGACATTGTATCTGACATGTCACTCATTTGTGAACTATCTTCATGAATTATTGACACTGTGCTATTTTTATTTTTTATTTTTTAATTTTTAAACATTTTTTATTGAGTTATAGTCATTTTACAATGTTGTTTCAAATTCCAGTGTAGAGCACAATTTGTCAGTGATACATGAACATGCACATATTATCACTTGTTTTTTTTGCTGTGAGCTACCACAAGATTTTATATATATTTCCCTGTGCTATATAGTACAATCTTGTTTATCTATTCTACATTTTGAAATCCCAGTCTGTCCCTTCCCACTCCCCTGGCTATTGTGAATAATGCTGCTATGAATGCAAGTGTATATCTGTTTGAGTTCCTGCTTTCATTTCGTTTGAGTATATACCCATAAGTGGAATTGCTGGATCATATAGTAATTCTGTGTTTAATTTTTTTGAAGAATTGCCATGCCATTTTCCATAGCAACTGCACCATTTTACAGTGTATAGGGGTTCCAGTATCTCTGCATCCTTGACATATTTGTTATTTTCTATCTTTTTTATATAATAGCCATTCTGATGGGTGTGAGGTGCTACCTCACTGTGGTTTTGATTTGCATTTCCCTAATGATTGGTGATGCTGAGCATCTTTTCACGTGTTTGTTGGCTGTCGGTGTATCTTCTTTGGAGAAATATCTATTCAAGTCCTTTGCCCATGTTTGAATTGGGGTTTGTTGTTGTTGTTGTTGAGTTTTAGGGATTCCACATATTAATCCCTAATCAGATACATGATTTGCAAATATTTTCTCCTATTCCATTGGTTGCTTTTTTACTCTGTTGATAGTGTACTTTGCTACACAACAGCTTTTAATTTTGTTGAAGTCCAGTTCATCTTTTTCTTCTGTTGCCTGTGCTTTTGGCATCATATGCAAGAAATCGCTAAATTCAGTGTCAGAAAGTTTTTTGTGTATGGACAGTTTTAGCTCTTACATTTATCTCTTTGACCTACTAAGAGTTAATTTTTGTATATGACATGAAGTAAGGGTCCAGTTTTATTCTTTTGCATATGGATATCCAGTTTTGCCAGCACTGTTTGTCCAAAAGACTATCTATTTCCCATTGACTGATCTTGACACCCTTGTTGAAAATCATTTGACTGTTTATGCCAGGGTTTTGGAGGGCCATCTGTTATGTTCTGTTGGTCTATATGTCTCTCTCTATGCTAGGAACATATTGTTTTGATTACTGTAGCTTTCTAGTAAGTTTTGGAATCAGGAAGTGTTATGCCTTCAACTTTGTTCTTTTTCAAAATTGTTTTGGCTGTTTGGGGTCCCTTGAGATTCCATTGGAGTTTTAATGTTGAAATGGGTTTTTCTGTTTTTTTCAAAAAATGTCGTTGGGCTTTGATAGAGAAAGCATTGAATCTGTAGATTTCTTTGGGGAGTATTGACATTTTAACAATATTAGAACTTTTCCAGTCCATGACAGGAGGTGGCTTCCCATTTATTTATGTCTCCTTTAATTTCTTTCAGCAATGTTTTGTGGTTTTTAGTGTGTGGATGGATCTTTTGCCTTCTTAGTTAAGTTTATTCTTAGTATTTTATTCTTTTTTTCTTAAATTGTAGATGGTGTTGCTTTCTTAATTTCCTTTTTGGTTTGTTTATTGTTAATATATAGAAATGCAACCAATTTTTTTGTGTTGATTCTGTATCTCTGCAACTTTGCTGAATTCATTCATCCACAGTTTTAAAAGCAGTTGTATTTGTTTTCTATATTGTATGACAAAGTACACAGACTTAGGCAACTTAAAACAACATACATTTATTATCCTATAGTTTCTCTAGGGCAGGAGTCTGAGCACAATGGAATTGGGTCCTCTGCTTAAGGTCCCCTGAGGCTGCAATCAAGGTGATGACTGGGCTGAATTCTTACCCTCAGAATCAACTAGGGAGAAATTTACTTCTAAGCTCACTTAGGTTTTTGGCAGGATTCATTTTCTTGTGATTTTATAATGGAGATTTCTTGCTTAAGAAGTTACTTGGTTATCCAGAGGGTATCTTGAAGCTCCTGAAGGCTCCTCTTAGCTTTCAGAGGCAACCTGAAGTTCTTGACCCTCTGGTTTTTCCTAGTATGACCACTTTATCAAGCCATCAAGGAGTTTAGAACAAGTCTGCCAGCTAGACAGTCTTACATATGTCACATAAACATGGGAATGACATCTGATAACCTTTGTCATATTCTGTTGGTAGAAGCAAGTCATAAGTTTTGCCCGCATTCTTGGGAAGCACTTACACAAAGGTATAAACAGCAGGAGTGGGGGGGTCATGGTGGCGAGGCCACCTTAGAGTCTGCCATAGCTGTTTACAAAATAGCACATATTTTATAAATCCATTTTTGTGTAAAAAACTGATATGTGCACTTGAGAGTATCTTAAGATGGTGGCTTTTATCGTTATTTTATAGTATTTCTTCATTATTTCCTGCCACTTTCTCTCTCTGCCACTTTCCAGTTTTGCAATTTAAATCAAT